TGTTAATCAGTGGTTTTTTTCTTTTTTTGAGGATTTGCAACTTGGTTCATGTTGAATTCCAGTTTAAATTTTTTTGAGGACCAAAATAATCCTCCTCTTATAGTTGAACAGATCCGGGAAGAATGTCACTCTGTTCAAATGTGTCATCAGATCGGCTGAAATATTTTGGTGTAATTTCAAGGTCTCGTCAAACTCAGTAAAAAAATCTACTTGGATGTTAAAATCTCAGTTTCGTTTTGTGGCACTGTCATTCAATTAGACAAACAAAATCAAAAGTTGTCGACCAATGTTTCAGCTCCACTTAGAGAAGAAGTCCAACCATATTTTTAAAATTTCTAAGCAGAATCAAAGCGTGTTGATCTGTGATTACACTAAGCGGAAATCCGTCCTTGATGACCATTGAACGTGATGTTACCACTGACGTTCTCAGAGTGAAATGAAAGGCCGGGCTTTTCAGCTTCATATTAGCGCTCAACGTAGCGTAATATTAGCGGGTCTGGAGGGAACTTTTTTGACCACACGTATAACGCTTGACCGATTTGCCAAAGTTCTCCGCGCGAGGGCGAACTCACTTTTTGGTTAATCAAAACCGCATTCTCTTTGCATGCTCCTCAGTCCCAGAGAGAACTGCCAAACCAACAATAGTAACTTTCATAGGTGGGAAGAGGTTCGCTACTTTAATGCAGTCGGCAAAATCTAACTTCAATTCGTATAAATAAAATGCCCGTGCACGATGTTATAATTTACTCAGCTCCAGCCCTTTTGTTCCCTTTCTCTGTTTCTTTTTAATTATGAAACAAGTAACCTCTGGCAAAACTATTTTTCTATCTTTCTTTGTTTAGATTAGTCCCTAAAAACTGCGAAACTAATGAAACGTAACAGAGAGCGCACAGATTTTCTGCGCTAAAAAGGACCAATACTCGCCTGTTTCTGTTACACTGGAAAAAAAAACACTGTGGATCTAGAGTCCAGACTCTTGAAAACATTGACAAGAAAAAATACTCTTGATTCAATCAGATTTTTGCTTAGATCAAAAGGAAATCAGCTCAAATTAAGAGGCTTGGTTCTTGATTTAGGCAAATATCCGATTGAATCAAGAGTATTTTCTCTTGTCGATGTTTTTAAGAGTGGACTCTAGATCCAATGTGTTTTTTCCAGTGTAGATATCTCTGTGTGAAGCACGGAATTCATTTTATTGCGGAGCCTATTTTGGCCCCAAAAAACGCGAGTGACATGGGTAAAGAGTGAGATCTGCTCCGAAAGAGTGGGATTCACTCCACAAAAAGGTAGGTTCCGCTCCGCATTCACATCACTCTGGTTTTCCGGGGAAGAAAGAGGCTACAGAGTAAAGTCTACTTTGGTTTCCCCTCCAAGTTTTTAATATTGAATCGATGGTGTTATGAGATGACTGAAAGAGATCTGGATCAAATGACAAAAATTAACTTTTTAGCATTCGGATACTTTTCAGTTTAAGGAAGAATAATATTTTATTTGTATGACGCCCCTGGTAAAAATTGGCAGTAGAATCTGTGTTCCAAAATACCATAGACCTACAGCCGGCTGTAAAATTTCCAATAGCTTCTATAGCCGGCAACACACTTTCTTATAGCCTTTTATAGCTGATGGCGACTAAGCAACAGCCTGGCGATAAAGTGTATGCTAAACGTTACTAATTACGGAAGGTAGGACTTAGTGAGTTTGTGGACCACGGCTCTCTTTCTGGGCCATAGTATCTTGATTTATTTTGCGAGGAAAACACCGTGCTTTTGAAGGATGCCTGCCATTCCTAATATGTTGGAGTGCCTTCAATTTCGTATGATACTGTGCAATACCTCTGGTGTGACATAGTTGCTTCTAGCGCCGTAGTACGCTACGGCGCGGCGCGGCGGGCGGGCAGCCAGCGCGAAAGGCGCATTGGCGCCTACAAACCTAACAGGGATACTTCACGCATTGCGCAATGCGTGAAGTATCCCTGTTAGGTTTGTAGGCGCCAGTGCACCGCCGCACCGCTTTGTGGACAGCCAGGCGATAAAGTGTAAAGCCCGGCGATAGGAACTATAGCCCGGCTGTATACTTTTTTATCGCTTCGTGTAGCCCGGCCGTATGATTTTTTCTACTTTCTACACCCAGCTATATGATTTTCTATCGCCCTCTTCAGTCGGCTATAAGAACTCCTATGGTATTTTGAAACGCAGCTTCTATCGCCAATTTTTACCGGGGGCGGCATAATGTACATGCATTCACATTTTTTTCTATGTGCACCCATCCAACTTACGAACAGATCCTTCTTCTTGGAAATATTCATTCTTCCTTTCAACGTTGCTCAAGTTGGCAGTCACTTTACTTGCCATGAAACCATTAATTATCGAAAATACAGAAAGGAAACAAAAATTCTCGAAAGAGCTTTGATTAAAATTCGGTGCCATTGGAAAATCGAACGTGGTGGTTTCCTCTTAAACCGGGTATTTCTTTCCAGTAGCATATACAAATGTAATGTCACTCACACTAAACCCATTTTAAGCTTTGCGAATTTTCTCTCAGACGTGTTGTGAAATACAGAAATTATACACGAAATGCGGAAACGCTGTATTTCTGCTCATCGGCGAATATGCACGGTCTAGTTCTCGATGTACTTACTTTGCCATTTCACTTCACACCCAATACGACCCGGAAATAGAGGGAGGGGGCGTAGAGATCAGATGCAAATCGACTTTCACGCTTCGATGAATGGTGCAGTCATAACTCGATTATATACCACTCGCGTTAATTTTAAAAAAAAAAAAAAAAAAAAAAAAAAAAAAAAAAAAAA